AGGATTTTTTAAAAAACCCACGCTTTCAAAATCAATCTGTAAAAGAGAAAGTTCTCTACTTTTATGTGAAAGTCATGCAAAATCTGTATTAGCTTGGTATTTTTTTTAAATTGACCTTGAATATTGTCAAAATCAAGGAAAATGCTGAATCAGCAAAAATGCAAAAACATACATATATTCTAATGTCTACCATAGTACTAGCTTCAGATAAAATATCAATGTCTTGTGTGTTTTAAACAAATAAAGTGTGTGTCTTTATCATACCAGTAAATGAGAATTATTGTTTAAGATTTTATATATAATTTCAGGCTTTAAAGATCAGTGATTTTCGGTGCCTTCAAATAGAAAAATTGGCTGGTTGCTAAGGAAATTACTATAATCAGGTTTCCATAGTAACCATGATCCAAAACATTTTTTATTTTACATACATGGATCATAGGTCAAGAGAAATCTATGTGTGGAAAATCATTGAATTCTGAGAACCTGAGTGAATCACTCAAATATCACTTTTGCATGATTTTTACACGGACTAGTACTTAACTGAATCAATATTTTGACCTTGACCTTTTCTTTGACCTTGACCTCACTTTTCTTAAATTAGTGTTTAGTTCAGTTTTTAAAGAAACAATTCAAGGTAGTGTAATCCAACTTTAAATCCTGATACATACTGATGTAAATTTGCAACTGTATCAACATTTTTTTTACCTTTACCTTTCCTTGACCTTTACCTCACTATTCTAAAATTAGTGTTTAGTTCAGTTTTAAAGAAGCTTTCAAGTAATTGCTTTTCCTTTGACTCTACTTTTCTTGAATTTGTTTAAATCTCAGTTAAAAAAAAACAGTCCTGAAAATTGAATCTTTTTTTCCACAAAAAAAGGCATCATTAATATGGCATTAATATTTTTTGACCTTGCACTTTCCTGTGACCTTGACCTCACCTCTCTTTAATGTTCATTTTGCATTAATTTTAAAGAAACCTAAGGTGTATTTATATAAACTTATGCACCTAGGCATTTTAAAGAAAATACACAAATGCATTCAAGATATACCCATCAAATTTCATAATCTATTTCCATGTTGCATCTCTAACATGCACTTGTTGGGGCATTCATGTCCTATTTATCTTAAGTACCAAAATATTTCATTGTAAATCTTTGACTCCATCTCTATTGTGGCCCATCTTGCCCCCTTGCAGTCTTAGTGGTCATACATGTAATCTGTACCCAGTATTGTAAAAGCAGAAATATGGGGAAATAAATTTCGATTATTTCGTTGTTAACAATTATCAATGAAATTAAATCCCATACAAATTAAATTTTATATATACTCAACAAAAAAAGAAATGCATATTCAGATTAAATATGAAAATCTGAGTTTTCAGTTAACCTTATTTTATTAAAAGTGATTTTAGAGTGTGTTCTGATAAAAATCAAACATGTCCTATGTTGCAATTGAAAAGACAAGTTGATGTCATTTTCATCGCCCCCAAATTTAAGGGGCATAATAATATGTACTGTGTGATGTCTCAGTCCTAGTGGGTTTCCAATGTACGGTTGTCGCGGACAAATACCAGCTCCTCCCAGTCTCTTGCGAACAATTTGTGAACTTTTATGCTGATCGATTTCTTCAACCAGCAATTGTAGCAACAGTTTGTACAGCAGTTCTGAATCGATTGTTAAAGGGGGGTCTGACGGACATTTCTGGGTGTGGTATCCGTTGACAGCCAGTTTTTGGTCTGTATTCCGTGTTCTTAGCTGGTGGAGACATATGTTAAACCGCTGCAAAGCCAATTGATGTACTCTAAATGCAATTGCAACTTCCTGTTGCGTAGCACCGGTTATCATCGTAGTTAGCCCGTGTTGCGCTCATCTTTGTTAAGGCGTGACATTGCAGCATCAACATTTTTAGCTCACCTCAACAAAGTTGGGGGAGCTTATGTAATACATTGTACCCTCGGTGTCGGCGTCCCAGGTTAAGGTTAAGTTTTTTGGAGCAGTTTTCTTTTTAAGTACTTCTATGTCCTATATTGATTATACATGCATGGAAGATGCTTCTAGAGTGTTTCATTGTACCAGTCAAAGTTTCAGATGCTGCAATTTCAGCAAAGGAATGACCAGCTTAATGTTTTTGGAGCAGGTTAACATTTTTGGTGCAGTTTTTGGTGTAGATCTCATTTCCAAGGAACTATAAGCCCTATGTTGACCAAACTTGCACAGATGATACATCTAAGGATGCACATTACCAGGCTTGCTTCGGATGCTGAATCTGACCTACATTTTCCGGTTGAGTGAACATGTTAATGTTTTTGGTGCAGGTCTCATTTCCAAGTAACTGTAAGCTCTATGTTGACCAAACTTGCATGGATGATACATCTAAGGATGCACATTAGCAGACTAGCATTGGATGCTGAATCTGACCTACATTTTCTGGATGAGTGAACAGGTTAATGTTTTTGGTGCAGTTCTCATTTTCAAGTAATTATAAGCCCTATCTTGACCAAACTTGCATGGATGATACTTCTTAGGGTGTACACTACCAGACTTGCTTCAGATGCTAAATCTGACCTACATTTTTAGGTCACCTGAGTAAACTCAGGTGACCTATTGCTATCTGTTTTCGTCCGTCGTCGTGCGTCGTCCGTCGTCCATCGTGTGTTAACATTTGAACATTTTCAGCTTCTTCTCTGCAACCACTGAACCAATTTCAACCAAATTTGGCACAAAGCATCTATGGGTGAAGGGGAACAAAAATTGTGAATTTCATGATCCCTGCCCCCCTGGGGCCTGAGGGGTGGGGCCAAAACCACTAAAATTAATGCAATCTTTAAAAATCTTCTTCTTTACTCCTGGACATCAAGCAGTCAAACTGTTTGCATGATTGTAATCAGCAATGAGTCTTCTACCAAAATTGTGAAATTCATGACCCTGGGGTCAGGGGTTCTAGTGCTAGGGCGGGGCTAAATAAGTAGGTAGTGAAAATGCATTATTTCTTTGAAAATCTTCTTCTCTGCTCCTGGGTATTAAATAAACCAACTAAGTACATAGTTATGATGAGCAAGAGTGCCTCTACCAAAATTGTGAATTTTATGGCCCCAGGGTCAGGGGTTCTTGTTTTAGGGTGGGGCTCTAATTATTATATAGTGAAATGCATGAATTCTTTGAACATCTTATCCTTTGCTATATGCTAATGATCTAATTACATGTACATATTTAAGGCCAGGATTTATTTTATTTTCAGTTTTACAAACCCTCCGCTCAAGGTTTTGAATTTACAGAAAAAAATTAAACAATTTTTTTCCTTTCCGATGTCAAATTTGAGTCGGGATCGAGATTTCAAATTTACGAACTCGCACTTCCGGTTGTAAGATGAAACGGCGGGTAAATAAAGCTAAGAAGATAGCTTGGTTTAGTGTAAAATTCATCGGTACGAGTGCCATTTAAAACGTTTCACCCGTTCAAAGGACAAATAAAATGCTGACGAGTTTGTTGCACAATGACATGCTAGTGAGATAATTATGTATTCATTTCAAAAGTATCTGTCTGTAAATTATTCTCCTCCCCCAGGTTTTAAACTGCCGGTGGTAGCTATTGCATATTGCCAGCGACATTGTTTAGGTCTCTGTTATAGCTTACAGTCTAAGCATCATTCTTCAGAAAAGGGTTGCTTATGCATCAGATGTAATGAATAAAACTATGGGAGAAGTTAAGTCCATTTGAGGAAGAAATAAACAATAACCTGAAGAAATAAAAAAAAATTCAACTATTAAAAGGCAAGAATATACAAATATATACAGGCATGTAGTATCATTTGTATCAGCCAGAAAAATTATTTTACACTTAATTGAAAAAATGATCACCCTACTCCCCAATACTCCCTGTCTGTTTTATGATAGGAATTATAATTTTAGGCATCAAGTAAATTTTAGAACAATGTCTACACATTCACCTAACACATATTAAAAAAATGAAGATATATTGAAAGACTTTTAAAGAATTGATTTTTTAAAATATATTTTGACCAACATCACAAAATTTATATAACTCGCCTAAACTGGCAAATGATGAAATAAGCAATTAAATGTTCTATTTTCCTATTTGTAAGCATTATGTGTCCAGTGGTAAGGAACCTATTAGAATAGCATAAAAAAAAGAATGAACAAATGTTGATAATTGATTTATCAATTTTTTTTTTAGTTCCTTCTCCTTTGGGACTTTTTTATTCTCATGTTGATAACTAAACCTAAACATAAAAAAAAAAATGCTGGCCTTAAAATGAAGAAAGGGGCCTCTTTCAAAATAGATAATTTCAGGGCCGCTGGGTCAGTGGTACCAGGGGGGTACTTTGACTAAAAATAAATTAATGCTTTGAAATCTGCCCTTTGATAAGCAATGGTGCCTCTTTCAAAATTTGTGAATTTCATGGCTTTTGGATTAAAACATGAACCAAATACAATCGCTGGAAAGTTGTTACATGATACTCAGGTGACCTATAAGGCCCGTGGGCCTCTTGTCTGGATGAGTGAACAGGCTAAAGTTTTTGATGCAAGATTCATTTCCAAGTACCTATGAGCTCTTTAATGACCAAATTTGCATGGATGATACATCTAAGGTTGCATTCTACCAGCTAGGCTGGCTTTGGATACTGAATCTGACCTACATTTTTGAGGAATGAGTGAAGAGGTTAAATTTTTATGCATGTTTCATTTCTAAGTAACTATTAGCCCTATCTTGTGCAAACTTGCATGGATGATACATCTTAGGATGCACACTAATGAATTTGCTCTGGATGCTGAATTCAACATACATTTTCCAGATAATGGGCCAGGTAAAAGTTATGAGTGCAGTTCTATTACCAAGAAACTATAAGACTTATATAAACCAAACTTGCCCAAATGATGCATCAAGGGATGAAAACTCTCAAACTTGCTTCAGATGCTGGATTTTGATCACATTTTTGTGATGAAGAACTAGTTTGAAGTTTTTATATAGGGCTATTCCAACCCGTACGAAATATTCCAGGCGGAGAAAAGGTGGATTTCAGGCGGACAACTAAGGCGTATTCCGCCTGAAGTCTGCAATACTCATAAAGAGTAAACTTAGGCGAAATACAAGCGGACTTTAGATGGAGTTCAGCCGGAATTCAAGCGGAAACTTAGGCGAAATATGCAAATTAGTCCGTCTAAAGATTCCGCTTAAAGATTCCGCCTAAAAATCCTGCTAAATTTTAGACAGAAAACAGCATACTGCTTAGGCGTACATTAAGCGGAATGCTTAGGCGTACATTAAGCGGATTATGCAAATTAATTCTGTCTTTCAATTTTGATGGACATTTTCCCAAAATAAAGACATGGACAAACTCATTGTAGCAATTAAACTATTACATTTTATTAAAAATATTAAATTTTTAAAAATTAAATCAGTAATAAATGAATACAAGTAAAATTTACAAGTTCTGTAATTACTATATTGTACATTAGTCTTGGTTTTCATCAAACCCTAGCAAAAAATTTTGTGCATATCCAACAATCAAATATTATCAATTCATGATCATCATATTTACAAAGTTATTATATTAAGCATAAATTCTCTTTCACTCAGCTGTTGACTTGTCCGATGTTACTGGCTTTTTGTTTCCTTTCCTTTTCTTCCTGGCATACGAAACCTGCTCAGTCACAGCATCATTAATCTCCTTTTCTCCATATTTCCCACCATTCTTCTCACACCAGACTGCTACATATTCTAAAGTAGAAGGTATATAAATATACATTAATTTGCCAATTAAATGTTTGTGTAACTCAGTCAACTGTTCATATTCATTAGGTGTCAAAATCTTTGATGGAATTGCTGTTACCATAATCCAGTTGCATGAGAATTTATTTAAATAAATACCTTTTAACACAGTCATCTTTGTGGAATCAAGAGTAGGTCTGATGTCTCCTTCTTTTGATTTTAAACCTTGTCCTCTACTGAGGGCCAACTCCTCACAAGAAAAAATTGAAGGAAGGAGTTTTGCTGTCAAGGTGAAGGCCATTTTTGATGGGTGAGCCTTCTTTGCTGCAGTCTTTGCTTTCCTCAGTGCCTCCCTCTTCACTGTCAAAGGATGGTTCGAAAGAAGCCTTGTCATCTAAAATTAAAACAAAATTTTATATACAAACTTCTTCAAAGTGAAACAATAAATATCTATAAAATGACAAATGAATGATTTTCTTCTGAGAATGCAAATTTTATCAAAATGTTTCTTACATACAATATTACATGTACGCTGAAAACAGCATTAACAATTATAAGACTTATCATTAACTTTCAGACTGTAATTAATTTAAAGTAGAGCTGGGCAATAATATTGCTATAAGTTTTAGTAGTACATGTACCGATATACCATTACATGTAATATGCTTTCTTGGAGTTTCTGTATAGATAAAATATAAATTGTCAGAAGCAATTTGTAATTACGCAAAATAGTAAGGTAAAAACTGTTGTGTTGGTGCATTTAAATGCATAATTGTATTTGTAAATGGTGATAATAAAATTAGAAAATACCACTTATGACTTTCAATTTTGTTGAAAATACATGAATTGCTCTGCATAATGCAATATTAACTTATTAAATATTGCAGTATATCTCAATATGAAATATATATATATACCTGATACTGGTATTCAATCCTAATATAAAAGCTAACATGTATCTGAAAAAATTGTCTAGTATTGTAAATCACCACTTACAAGTCCATCAGAATCCTCGGGTGTAGAGGAGAAATGCTTCCTGGGTGACCTCCTTGGTGTCCTCGGTGGGCTTACTCCATGTAAATGTGTTGATGGCATCTTTTGTGGTGTGGTGTGCTGGGAAGGAGTTGCAGGGTTCTGTAGTGGCATTTGTTGGGGCATCATTTGTTGCATTGGAATTTGTTGTAGAGATATTTGAGGTGGCATTGAAAGGTGTGTTGACATTTGTTGAGTTTCAATGTCTTGAGGTTGTGAATTTAGGGAAATTTGTTGTGTTGGCATCTGTTGAGTGTGAATGTTGGAAGTTGGTTGAGTTTGAAGCTGCTGTTCAAATGCTGGCACCGGTAGCTGTTGGGTCCAAGGAGATGGCTGTGTGTAGTTACAGTCTTGTGTCCATGTTGCAGGTGTCATTGGTGTGTATGTTGGTAATGGTAAGCATGAGTAAGTTTCATCAACCTATGGGGAAATAATATAAATTCTAAAACTGCATGAAGATATATTTATAAAAATGAGTTTAATTGTTGATTAAAAAATATAGGACTTTACCTGAGACTCTGTCTCTTGGAACTGGGAGATCATACTTCTCATGTAGCTTTGAACTTGTGGTCTTAACAGCAATTTAAATAACTCAAGGACATCAGCAGGTGGTCGAATGGCTTCAGAAGATGGAACTATTTAAGAAGAAAATAAGGAATAAAAAAAACTTTCTATGTTTAAGTAGTCTGCATTACTCTATACAGGAAAATATTTGCCCCCCATTTTATTTTGGCCACTTTTGCCCTTGTCACAAAAGAGCAAATATTTAAACAGGGCAAATTCTAAGAAAACAGTATTAATTTCTCTAAAACAGAACTGTGTCGGGGCATATTCAACAGGGTGAAATCATTTGCAGGTGTAAAAGGGCGAAAAATAACCCTGTATAAAGTATTGGTGCATATTAAATACCTGTTGTTGACATTGTCACAGATGGCCTTTCCAGCTCAGGATTACAGAGGGCCCAAGTTGACGTCAGAGTTGTGTTGTCAACACACCTATCTTCAGATGCTGTTGGAGACCCAAACTGGTCACTTAAGGATGACAGCATTTCCTTTGCTGTTGCCAGCTGCACACTACTCTCTGCCTTCTTTTCCTGTCTCTCTTTTTCTTTGGGTGTTTCTAATTCTGTTTTCTCTTTGCTCTTTTCTTCTGTCTTTTTCTTTCTCTCTGCTTTGTTTTTCTTTCCGTCATTCTTTTTCTTTCCTTCATCATTGTTCTTTTCGCCATCATCCTTCTTTTCAGTTTTGTCATCTTTCTTTTCATTTGCTGTATTTTTCTTTTTCTTTTTGGGGCTCATTTCATTGTCTTGTTCATGACTTTCTTTAGCTCTTTCTGTCGGAATCCTTTCCCTTTTTCCATCTTTTTTCTGATTTTCATTTTCTGCCTTTTTGAAAAATGTGATTAATTGCTCTACACTTTCTTCTGCACTCAGGTTCTTGCCTCTCAAAACCTTCTTCTCTGCCTTTACAGCTTCTGCTTCAAGAAGATCTTGGTTTCCTATAAAAAGTCATATCAAAAGTCTTACTCAAGTTATTTGAAAACATGAAAGCCCATCTGACAAGTTTCTAAAGACACCATTCACTATTTGATTTGGTTTGTGTGTGGGGGGGGGATGATTTGGGAAATAAATAATTTGTCCTTTAAAAAAAATAGGATATAAATAATTATCATCAGCTAGCAATAAAATAATCTGCCCTTGACAAGTGCCATTACATTATCTTTTCCCATTAACCATTTATTTTTTTTTTATTTTTTATTTTCTTGTCATTTTTTTCAGTTCTAGTGAAGAAGAAGATAATTTGACCTAGATCATTCTATGAATAAATAAATAAACAAATAAATAAATAAATAAATAAATAAATAAACTGTCCTTGTTTAGCATGAAAAAAAAACAACCTGTCTGATTGAAAAAAAAAGTGTACCCCCCCCCCCCCCCTAAAAAAAAATGGTAGTCCCATAAGCATATGATAATAAGTTGTAAAAAGCTTAAATTTTCCCTGTTTAAAATTGAAATAAAAAATGTTAATCATTTGACTTTATTTGTTTGCACACGAAAATCACTGCGGCTTGAAAAGAGTTAATGGCCCTAAAAACCTTATATCAATTATATGTAAATAATATCTCGATGTAAACAAAACAACACTAAACAAGTTTTCCTACGTAAAAGAGTTCCACTGTTGATCGCGATGTTCAACCAGACACTCGGCTGTCTCCGTAACTCCGAGGAGCTCGTCGGAGTTTACGGAGACAGCCGAGGGTCTGGTTGAACTATCGGAAGATTCGAGCGTTTTCACAGCCAGCAACATGAGCAATGGGGGTTCCGAAAAGCAGAATTTGAATTTTTTAGGAGCGGAAACATGGGTTAAATTTCCTGAAGTAAAATCGATGCCACACTGATCCTGAACATACATATACATCATTCTGTAACATTATGATTAAAATAATTAAAGTATTCTCACTTTGATAACCACTATATACAAACTGGTTTATCTGTCTATCCCGAATTTAACCGTCTCACATTTTAAATCAATATTAAGTATTAACCTGTTTACAGTTTAAAACTTACATATAAGTTTAATATATTGAAGAATGGGAAACTTTCTTACCATGCACATAGACAATAACTCCCGAGAAAATGTCTTTTCCCCACTTCATGTTAACTTTTTCTCCCTCTTGAAAAGATCCCAAAAGCTCCAGTCGTTTAGACTTCTCCCCAACAACACTTAAACTCGTATCCTCGTGGAAGAAAACGCATCCGAACATATTTAGAATTCAAGTTTAACACAGACTGAATGTGACAAAGAGTACAGCAAACTTTCGTGTTATCAAAATGTCTGTCGAGGCTTTTCCTGAACAAAGAAACTATAAGCGCGTAAACAGCTGGGGGTCAGCAATGGCCAGCATCACATGGCATCACGATAAGATTTCAGTGGGTCAGACTACATCTGGTCAAGGGCACCCCATGGGTTATATATGCGGTGCAAACAGACTTAAACGTTTTGATTAATGCGTATAACAAGTCATATAACAATTAACAAACACAAGTATTGAATATATACATAACATAATCATTTGTAAAACGTAATACCCACTTTTTTTCGAATGCATATTATTTTTAAAAAATCATCCTTTAAAATGTATGTGTACATAAATACCCCTTGAGTACCCTAATCGGTCACTTCAGAATCCTTGTCTGGTATTGAGTTACAGATATATCGTAAATTGCACTGAGAACAAGTAAAAAAAAAATGGACGGCGACAAAAATAAGCAAAAGCGTAAAGCTACAGGGAAAAGAGGTCCCTACAAAAAGTTTGTTCTTGAAGAAGAAAAAAGTTGCAGCTTTGAGCCTTTTCAAGGGAATGAAGATTTATCGGATTCTGAGCAGATGTCGAGTGAGACGGTAACGAAACTGGATACTGATTTTCCCGAATTTTCGGACTTGAACAAAGTTGATTTTCCTCAGCCTGAAAAATCAGCTGCCTGTGGTGAACCCTCTGTGAGCAAATTTCAGGATGAATACCAAATCGAAGAGGTATGAATATCTCCCCCCCCTTCCTGTTAAAAAATAATTATATAATTTTAAAAATCTTTTTGTTATTGAAAATACTTTTTATTTGTAAAATCTCAATTAAAAAATATAAATACATATACATTAAGCCTTAATACTTAATTTATAATATGAAATTAAGAAATATACATGTAAGACCGAATTGATTAATAAAAGATGACTGCAACATCCGGTTTCAATTGAGTCAATGATTTAGGGAATAAATTAAGAAACGTTAATGCTGATTTAATGGTGAGTTTTACCGGCGACGTAAGCGGAGCCGGTAAAACGGATGTTTGCGACCATTATCAGCATTAACGGTCGCAAATACCAAATTAAAAGTTTAGTTATTCCCATTCTAATGCAATCCATGCATGCTGTTTGTTGTTTACGTCTTATTTTGTTGAATTTTGATGAAAAACGTCACGGAGCATGTACGTCGCACGTCACAATCCGGTTTCAAACATTGCATTAGCCAATCAAAGATAACAAAAGAATTGCATTAGAATGTGACATTAGCAATGTTTTTTACGACTGTAAATATTTTTTGTGTAAGTTCTTTAGCTATTGTGTAAATGGTCGTCTAAAAAGTTATTTAAATAATTTCTTATTTGTATAATTTTATTCAAAAACCTGCATATTGCCTCAGTTCGAATTTCCTCGAAATTAAGGAACGGCGCCTACTAAAGGTTTATAAGACCATATTTTACGTTTTTATTTAATCCATGACTTTTGTAAATTTCAGATATTGGTTGATCCAGATCAAGATGTGGTTTCATCGTACACAGCAGAAGAAATTACCGTGGAAACGACTGGAATACAATTTAACTTTGTACAAACGCATGAAAAAGAGCTGATGACCAACTTCAACTTGGAGTCGGAATCAGTTGAGGATTTAACTGACGATGACCAACCATTGCCTGAGGAAGATTTTGATTTGCAGTGTGATCCATTAGAGGACCTTCACATTACAAATGAGGAAGAGCATTCTTTAGATCAGGATGCAGAAGACAATGATGTTGATTCGGATCCACTCTATCCTGGGGCAGCAGTGACATTAGGCGCATTTATGCTGCTGCTGGCCATATTTACTACCAAGTATAATCTGATTGGAGAGGCAACAGAACAACTCCTTAAGATCTTGGCCTTGGCCCTCCCACATGGTCATAAACTCTGTGCATCTTTATATGAATTTAAGTTATTTTTCAAGAATCTGAGGAATCCACTTGTTCGCCACTACTACTGTAATTACTGTCTTGGATATATAGAAAACACCACTGTGCAAAGCTGTCCTTATGAATTTTGCAAATCTAAATTTAGTGTTAAAAATGCCTCCTATTTCATTGAAATGCCTTTAGAACACCAAATACAAAATTTATTTGCCCAGAAAGATTTTTATGAAAGTTTAGGACATAGATTCAAAAGGAAATCCTGTGATAACACCTATGAAGATATTTATGATGGGAAATTATACAAGCAATTAAGTGAAAATAATGGAATTTTGAGTTTTCAAGAAAACATATCTTTTACTTTCAATACTGATGGAGCTCCTGTTTTTAAAAGCAGCAAGACAGCAATTTGGCCGATTTACCTCGTCATTAATGAATTACCCTACAAGCAGAGGATGCTGAAGGATAACATGATACTAGCAAGCCTGTGGTATGGAAGCAAAAAACCATCAATGGGGACATTTTTAAAACCATTTCTAAAATCGCTACAGAAAATGAAAGAAGGTATTAAATGTACATCACCTGAAAGAGGCCAGTTTCTGTGTAGAGGTCTCTTATTGTGCGGAACAGCTGATCTCCCAGCCAGAAGTTTGCTCTGTAATCATGTCCAATATAACGGAGCATTTTCTTGTTGGAAATGTGAACAAGAAGGTGAGACGGCTTCTGTAGGGCGTGGTCATGCGAGGATATTTCCATTCCAAAGTGAAGAACCCAAAGGACCGATACGAACAAAGAAAAACGTTTTAGAAAATGCCAGGATAGCAGTAGAAGACCAACACATTGTAATGGGAAAGCCAGTTAAAGGTATAAAGGGACCATCATGGCTTTTCTTTGTGCCCAATTTTAACATAGTATCTGGCATTGCCATTGACTACATGCATGGTGTCTTATTAGGGGTGCAGAAGATGCTATTGGAACTATGGTTTAGTGAGAAGCACAAAGGGAAAGCTTATAATTTTTGCAACAGTGTTTGTGAAGTAGATTTGAGGCTTCAAAATATTAAACCTACTCTGGACATTACTAGACTTCCGCGATCTATAGAAAAAGACTTGAAATATTGGAAGGCATCTGAATATAGATCATTTTTGTTATTTTTTGGTGCTCCAGTTCTGCATGGAATTTTAGACATGCAAAGATTTTCTCACTTCCTGTTGCTTGTAGACTCGATGCACATTCTTCTAAAATTCGGCTCAAACGAAAAAGATTTAGAGAGAGCTGAAATGCTTTTATTTGAGTTTTGTAGGCGTTTAGAAGAATTGTATGACCGATGTTTCTTAAGATTAAATGTCCATCAACTGCTCCATTTACCAGATTGTGTTAGGGATCTTGGCCCTCTCTACACCCATAGCTGCTTCTCTTTTGAAAGTAAAAATGGAATTATTTTAAAAATGATCAGAGGGAGTCAGAGTATCGATACTCAGATAATAACTGCAATATCATTTATACAAAAGCTTCCTGAATTAAAACAAAAATGTGTTGCAGAAAATTCAGAGGTTGATAAATTATGCAAAGCTATTCAAGAGCCATCTTTGCTTAAGAGGGGTCAAAAACTGGGGAAGGGGATATACATTCTTGGTGCTCCATGCAATAGAGTATTAAAAAATGTTGAGACTGCTGCACTCCAAGATTATTTGAAACATGACCCTGCTTGTGATACATATAGAAGTTTTAACAGAGTAGAATATGGATCATATATAATTTATGGCACTGAATATTCTAGAATGATCAAAAGAAACAATTCAGCAATTTGTTACAATGGAAAGAATGATATTAGCTTTGGAGAAGTTATGTTTTTTATTCTGTTTGAGGATAACACTGCAGGTATGACAAAACCTCTTGTATTCATTAAGAAATTACTTTGCAGAAATTACAATGTTAACTCTAATATCTTAGCAGTTACTGGTACAAATGATGTTGAAGTTGTTAATATAAATGACATACTGTCAAGTTGTATGCTTGTGTCTTTTCCTGGAGGGCAGACCTTATTCATTTGTAAATTTCCAAACAGATTAGAATCAGACTGAAATTATCAAGAATTGTATGTAGCTCAGAGTTTGTGTATTTTAAGAAGATTATTGAACTAAATG